CATGACAAGGTTTAGGACCAGTTCGCACAAACCATTCAAACACCTCCGGTCAATTTCGAGTCGACAATGAATCGAATCGTGTTTTCGGGGCGTACAGTACGTGTGGAGAAAGAAACCACAGATCGAACAAACAACATTTTTAGCTATGAGGCAAAAGCAACCAACCGCTGCTCCAACATGCTGACCGACAAATACGATGTGAGAGGAACAACGGCACGCAGAACGTCCTGTTTCTGGGACAGCATCGCAATGAGTTCTCACACTGGAACCGACTGATAATTAATAGAAAAACAGTTAAACGACATGTCCCCGTGCACGCACACGCACACACACACTCCATTTTTTCCCAAAGTCAGGATCGCAACCCTCAAGTGGGTCGCAAGAGGTTTTTTTGGGGGGTCGTTTTGCATCATGTTTCACAGGAGTTTAGGAATAATGTCTATTGACTTGGGTTGCGAAGGTTTTTAAAATATGGGTCCCCAGAAAAAAAAATTCTGGGGAAACACTGCCTTACCCTAACTTAAACCACACACACATACAGTATATACACATATATACATATATATACACATACATATATATCTATATATGTATACATAGGTGTATACATATATACATATATACACATATATACATACATATATACACATATACATACATATATATACACATATACACACATATACATACATATACATATATACACATACATATATACATATATACATACATATATACATATACATACATATATACATATACTATATATATATATGCTAATCCTTCAACTCCTTTATGATCCTCAAAATACAGTCACACTCAGTTTGGATCTAAAAATGTCCCCATGAGGGGACCAAAAAATTGGTATTATCCAAAAGCTACTTCACTGTACCAGGCACACACACACAGAGCTTCCACTTTCACACGTCTGATCTCCTCACCTCCTGACAGAGAAAAAACACCAGAAAACACACAATCTCTCATGAACACATCATTCACACGTGCACACACACACACACACACATCGACAGATGGTGTGTTGACACAGCCCAGCTCTCTGTGGACCATTAGCCGTCTGTATTTCAGGCCGTTTTCGGGCTAATTACTATGAAAACAAACAGGCTAAACATTTTCTCTAATGCCCGCTGCCAAGGACAATCTGAGACGGAGGCCTGAAACAATTTGAGGACGAGGTGATACCGAGGCCCCGGCTGTGGTCGGGGGCAGCGGTGGGGGGGTCTGGGTAAAACGGAGAGGCTCAGA